ACGGAGCAGGCACGCCGCCGGCGGCTCACAGCCGAGTTTGAGCAGGTCAGTCCCGCCCGGGTCTCCAGGGAAGGAGTGGGTCCCTGCCCTCCCACCGCGCCCACCACACCAGGCTGCTGCAGCCAGGGCTGCTGGTGGCGACTGGCTCCATGTGTGTGAATGCAGGGCCCTCCCTCTGTGAGGCCCCTCACCCAGAGCCCCTCCTCTCTGGCTAGGCACAAACCTCGGCCTGGCGGCTACAGGAGGAGCTGGAGCAGCTCCGTGCATCCGGGCCCCTGGAGTCCTCAGGGACAGAGGCCACGCAGCTGAAGGTAAGGGGGGGAGCGAGGCTGTGGCTGCTGTTGGCCTCGCAGAGGGCCAGGAAGAGGAGCACAACCTCACCTGGGCCAGCCCTGTCCCCTCCCCCAGGGAAGGGAAGGAGCTGGCTTGCCCCCCACCACCTCCCGCGGCAGATCTTACTGGTGGGGATGGGGGCAGGGAAGTCCTCAACCTGCAGTGTCACACCAGCCATAGGCGCTTAATGGCCACATGTCTAGTGGCTGCTGCCCTGGACACAGAGCTAATGGTCAGCTGGCAGCTCCTGTAACTGTCACAGCCTGTCCTGGGTGACCGGGGACATCTAGCTCATCATTCCAGAGGGATGTGGCCCCATGCTGGTAGGCAGGGCATTCCTCTGGCGTCACGTGAGGGCTGAGCCCATCACCCTCTGACCACAGGAACGACTAGAAAAAGAGAAGCAGCTAACGAGCGACCTGGGGCACGCGGCCACGAAGCTGCAGGAGCTTTTGAGGACGACCCAGGAGCAGCTGGCCCGAGAGCAGGGCACGGTGAAGAAGTTACAGGAACAGCTGGGACAAGCAGTGAGTGTCCTGCCCATCCACAGCACGGGCCCAGGGAGGCAGGACGGGCAGACAGAATGGCAGTGGCGGTGGGCAGACTTCTGCTGCGGGTGTCAGCCGCTGGGCCCAGCACCCTGAGCCTGCGTGGACTCTTGTACCTCGGCTCTCACCCCGGCCCTAGGACCCTCCTCCCTCCTGCTCCACTTCCACCAGTTCCCCCTGGCCCCCAGCCTCTCTCCCCTAGCCCCAAGAGTCGGCCCGGGCTGGGCTCTGTGATGCAGGGAGGGGCTGCCGACCTGGGAGTCACGGCGAGTGTCTTGCCATGACTCCCAGAGCTCCTTGGCCGGCATGTCCCTGACACTGCCCTCTGTTCGCAGGAGGACGGTAGCAGCTCAAAGGAGGGTACCTCTGTGTGAGTCTGCTCTGCGGAAAAAGAAGTTACTGTTAACTTACCAAAATGCCTTACACATTCCTTACAAATCAACCAACCAACACAGCGTTATCCAGGCCCAGCCTCCGGTAGCTCCAAGAGAAGCCATCAGAGACCAGAGTCTCTTCAAACCTCAGAAATAGATCTTCCAGACCCCCGTTTGTAAAAGGACCTTTGATAAACACTACGGCCCTGGACACTGCCGAGCAGACGCCAAAGCCCTCAACTGTGACAGACCCCACGGGGTGCGCTGGGAGGCCGGGATGCTCCGGGGATCTGTATGTCGATCAGTGCAATTGTTTCGTCTGTCTGTAGGGGCGGGGCACCACCAGGCAGTGGCTCTCAGGCTGGGGGCAGGCTGGGAGACCACAGCCGGCGGGGTGGCAGCCTCGCCCCTGGAAGTTGCCATCCTGAACTGACATGTGACCTGGATGTTCACGCCATTAAAACAGCCTTGTTACCGGCGTGGCCGTCTCGCCTGCTCTTATGCCTGGCTCCCCAGCTGCTGTTGAGCCTGGGGCGAGGAACCAAGGGAGCCACCCTGTCACGGAGAGAAGCATGGCTCCAGTTCTTTGAAGGCAGAAGGTCTGGGTAGAGTGGGGAGGACATTCTTCTCAGTCACATCAGGCCCAGTAGTAGCCTGAAATGCTGTCCTCCGTCCTTGGGGTCCTGGGGGTCCTGGGGCAGGCTTGTGGGTGGCCTGGGCTGTGTGTGACGCGAGCTCGGGATGACAGGGAGGCCTCTGCCCTGGTGAGGCCTACACCATCCATGCCTCCAGAGGGGCCACCCAGGCCGGAGCCACTACGGCCTGCCCTAATGAGTTTCCCCTGGTGGAAGTCAGCCTAAGGCTCCATGGCCTTCAGACCCAGTGTTCTCAATGGCCCATGACAAAGTGGTCCAAGAGTCAAGGCAGGTGCCAGGACCTGAAGGGTAAGCTGGAAAAAAGGGCAGAACATGGAGCTTAGGCAGAGAAGGTCCTTAAAAGCACTGAGACCCGGGATGGCCTGCATCCAGCCAGGAACAGGTGACCTGAGCAGTCCCAGGGGCTCTGTGTGGACACCAGCCAGTCTTGAGGACTACCCTGAGTGACCAACAGCTGCTCCCACACTTCTCCCTGCCAAGCCTGGGCCCCCAGGAAAGGCTGGTTATCCCTGCCGGGTGGACTGCTAAGTGATGGCAAGTCCTCCCAGACAGCGCCGGGTGGTGGCAGCTCAGGGATGCAAGTCCCCACAGCTGGCTCTGGGGTTGCAGCATCCCCTGGTCCCACTCTCCCCTGGGGTAGCTGTCACAGGAGCAAGACCCAGTCTGTCATGGTGCACGTGTCTGCACCCTCCAGTCCCTCACATGCCCCAGGGCCAGGCCATTCTGCTCCCAGGGACCACACTGCACAGCACTGTTAGAGGCTGCCCTGGGAGCAGGGTGGTGGGAACTCTGGGGAGGCTCCAGAAGGGCTTCTCAAGAGGGGCAGAGCTGTTGGCAGGAGGGGAGGAAGGGTCCAGGCTGAGGGCGCAGGTGGGAAAGGCAGGGCCAGGACGCTGGCTAGGGCAGCCTGCCAGGTCATGGAGGCCAAGTTAAGCAGCCTGGAGGGTGTGAGAGAAGGGGGAGGATGGGCCTGTCCCACACTCCCCGGAGGAGGCTGACGGGAGAGGGAGCTCACGGGCTGGAGACATGGGCCCATGGTTTCTGACCAGGAGCCAGAGCAGGAGGAAGTGGCCGATGTGGACACTTGGGGCTTACATGCCCTGCTCTGCGCTTGGCTCTCACGAGAAATCTGTTCTCCCAGGGAAGGATTCAACCCACCTCCCCTAACCCTTGGCAGCTGAGTCAACAGCCTGGTAGGGGTCAGCTGGAGAAGAGCTGGTTTTGGAGTGCATGGACCTCACAAACGGTGGTCCTGCAGCCCCTCCAAACCACCTGTGTGCCTCCACATCCCGGAGCAGGGGGTTCTGGACTGCAGGATGGGCTATGGGTGAGAGAGGCCCCAGGATAGGCAGAACTACGCATGGTGGCCTTATGCAAGGTCAGTGTACTCTCACGAGAGGGTGGGGGACAGGTCAGACCTGGGAGCCTGCACATCCAATGAGCCCCTGACCACATCCTCCAACCCACACCGTCAAGAGAACTGGGAGTCCCTAGGCTGGGTAGAGAATTTGTTTTGAGCAAAAAGAGATCTCAGGGAGAGACAAGGGACATGGGTGGGAGCTGAGCGGTGGCCACATGGGCATCACGGATTCTGGCTACAGCCCTGTTTTCTATTCCCTTGGACCACCTGAAGGAGCCAGCACATGGGGAAGGGATTCTGGTAAAGGCAGGCACAGGGTGGGGGGTGAGCCCCCATGGTGCTGGCCTGGGGAGTTCGGGTGAATTCCAGGTCCCTTCTGCAGCCCGTTTGATGGGCCCATCCTGAGTGGCCTGAGGCCCAGCAGCGGCACCTGCCAGGACAGCAGAGGGAGCCATAGTTCACCCGGCAGCCAGATCTCCCTACAAAACCCTCGGGCTTCCTCCCTTCCCTTCCTGTTCACCAGGCAGGCACCACTGGAACCTGGCTCATGGGTCAGGGGCCACTGAAGCTCTGCCCTGCAAATGTGGCGGCACTTGGGCCACTTGGAATGCCGCCGAGGGCAGAGATCCTGGCAGGTTGGCAACAGCAGCACTGTTCACCCCAAGCTGGCGCCCCACCTACAACAGTTCCGGAGCTGGGAGAGCCCTCACTTCAAAGTCTTTCCATTGGGAGGGAAGACAACAGCAGCCTCAGGCCCCCAGAGATGTGACCTCCAGGGACACAGCCTGTGAAGAGCTCTGCCAGTCCGAAAGCTCACCATGCAGACAGCTGCTCCACCTAGCTCACCCTGGCCATCTCTGCCCAGGACTGCACAACTGACAGGAACCCAGATGTTGGCCTACCGGCCACACCTGCAGCATCCAGAGAAGGAAGCGGCAGAAGGCAGGGAGCCATCAAAGCTTCCAGTGAGAGGCACAGCATGGAAACCCCTGCACATCCACCCAGGCCTTCTTACGGAGCTTCCTTTGGGTGTGGGGAAGCCCAGAGCCCCAGAGAAACAGTTTTCTCCCTTGTCCTTTCAGATCATCCCTAAGGCTGAACTGGTCTGGACCTTTGGAACTAGATGTTAGGAATCAAGTGGAACCATGCAGGTGCAGTGGGAGTGGCAGAGGCTTACATCCTTCCCAGCTGCCCTTCTGGGGCTAGGGTTCAGGCCAGCCAGACAGCAGCATCTCACCTGGGCTACTCCAGGCTCCCTGCCACTGACCCAGCTCCTGAACCCCCTCCATGCCACGTGATTACGGCCCCAGTCGGGGCCTGCTGCATTTCAGAAACTCAATTGAGAATGTGCCCTGGCCTTGAGTAAACCCAGTCTCTGAGGGTCCTGACAGCCTGCACTGGGTGCATCCGGGCTGGCTGGCACCCTGGGCAGCAGTCCTGCAGAAAGGATGACTCACTAGACCAAACCTAATTCCATCACCCCTGTTGAGATGAGCTCTCTCTGAAACAATAAGCATCAGTCAATTCTGTGAAGCACTGGTTTTATCTGCTGCTTTGAGGCAAGAGTAACCAATAGATGCTCCCAAAGACACTTGAAATGTGTCAACACCTGTGAAAACCTGCACCTTCTAGAACTGAGTATAGCAGACCTGCAGTCTCATTACTGACCAGTGTCAACAGTCTAGGCCCTAATTTTGCACTGGGGTCACTCGGAGTGCTTGTTAGCACAATTTATGGACCCCAACCTCGATAATCCACTGTTTTTCTAAAAAAAAAAAAACAAAAAACCCTACCCTAAATAGGGACAAGTAACTACTAGCATCTTCCCAACTTCTGGAACAAATGGGTCCTGAGCAATGTCCACATCCCATCTTTAAACATGTCTGAAATCCTTCCCACGGGCCAGCCCCAAAGGCTCAGAAGTAACACAATGCTCTGTGATACCAAAGTCAAATGGAAAGGTCCTGGGTTTGTGTCCCAAGGTCTCCTTGTATACCTGGGAGTACACACGTGTGTCTGTGCTCGTCAGCTTGGGCTGGAGGTGGATAATGGCATGAAGACTCTGTTTGGGATGCCTCTGTTCAAGAAAGAAACTTTAAAACAAAAATTTCAAATCCAGAGGCTGGATGGTGGGGTGGCATGGCAGTAATATGCTGAGTCAGCTCTGCGGCTGACTCACATGAAAGGTTCCAGGTCTGTGTCCAGAGACATCCCTGGGCATACCAGGCATGTGTGTGCCTACGATCCAGGCCTGGCTAGGGGTGGATCACAGCATGAAAACTATTCGGGGGCAAGTCTGTCTGTCTCTTGCTCATGGAAATAAACAGAACTTACAGGCTTCCATACAGCATGCATCTTTCACACACATGCATACACTGAAACCTCAGAAAAGACTCTCAGACTCCTTGGCCAAATGCCTGGCTCTACCTATGTAGCTAGTTCTTAAACAAAGCTCATTCCTGAGGAGGGCATTCTATGACTTCTCTAGAGAAAACAAGAAATGTATATGAAAATACGTACACGCTGGAAAAATAACAACCAGTCAGCACTATTTTCTAGAAAATTCAAGAGACATTTTGATTAAAGCATTGTAACTTTTGCCTTCCAAAAGCCTGACATTTGGATAAACATTTAGAATGAGAAAGACTCCCAATTCTACATAAACTTTCTCATTCAGAGAGAGTGGTGACCTTCACTCTGTAAGAAATACCCAAACTTGTAATCCCGACCCCACATGGAATGCAAAATCCTTTATTCCCAATTCACGAATGAATAATTACACGAGAGGTAAGTTAAAAATGCTTCCTTTATTACATAAAGCCAGTACTGCTACTTCTAAGTTCAACTGTTCGTGCATCTCTGTATTGTTCCAAGTGTTGCGCCTGTGATGTTAATGACAAGTGCATCCAAGTGTCACTGGGTAGTGGCTCCTTGCAAGTGTCCTCCCTGGTACCTGCTCCCCATCTCATATTCAGCTAATGACAAGTGTATGCTCTAGGTTAAGTTCTCCCAGGCCCAGAGCAAAGGTATTCAGTAGTCTTCCATACCTTACGTACTGTACCAGAAGCAGCAAACTTCTGAAGGAGACACAATCAAAGATATCACGGTGTTCTAGCTTGTCAATATACTGACATTTTCATTAACAAAGCAGATTACAGTGGAGCCCTAATTTGCATATTTAGTCATTAGAAGACACTGCACATTCTCCTGAGAACACATCATGATTTCCAAGATGCGAAGTGACTCTTGCAGAACAGTCTCCAACTAGCAAGCGCAAGTGCAGGGGCTGCTTCCTGTGTGCCAATAATGTGCTTGAAATAGCGCTTTTTGCAAGATCAGCATGGACTGCAGTGGCCACAGTTCTAAGGCAGTCTCGATTACTCAGGTGGTGGGAGTACAAGACCGCCTCACTTAATCTTACTGTTGTTAGTGTGTTAGTGTTGCACACATACAAGGAGAATTGTACCCCATTACGCTGTTTAGCTCAAGGAAGAATAAAGAATTTGGGCCAAAATTAAAATCAGATTATGACCAATTCTCTTAAGCAAAAGAAAGAAACTGCTGAGGTTAACAAAGATGTAATTTTCTTCACATGGCCTTGTACTGTCCTGTAAAATGCATTATTAAAAATCATGAGCTTAAAAATCTGTGTAAGTTAACACATCAAAACAGGCGTTTAGCCAATAGGAATTTAATTTCACACCAATAAAACTGTAGACTTTAGATTTATTTAGGGCCATTTGCATGTGTTTATAGAATATGTAGCTAAGTCTAAAAGATGACAGGACAGTTCCCCTCAGTGAGACCCTGGCCTAAATAATATTTGCTTTACTTATATAGCAAGAAGGTAACTTTAAAGACGGAAGCTTTTGATTTGTGGCACTGAATGATGAAGCTACACGGGGCATCCTTCGAAAGCTACAATTAGGGATCCACCTAGCTTCTCAGCGATACAAGCCCGATTGAGATCTTCTGGCCCATTTGCTTGACATTCATGTTTTATGCCTAGGGAGGAAAAACAACAATTCTGTTTAGAATTATGGCGGTGGCATCCCCATTTCCCTAAGAGGTTAAACTGTTTCTAAAGACCAGCTCTAATGTATCTAGATTGGTATATACAAACAGCAGAGAACTAACTCTATGGTAGTGAGTGCAAATAATCTGTAACTACATGCATCAAATAGCTCTTACAAACATAATGCTGACTGAGAGAAACCAGTTAAAAAAGTGTACATTCCGTATGACTCCAACCATCTAACATACAAAATCAGCCCAAGCAATTTATGCTATTAGAAGCCAAGGTATTGGCTACCCTAGCAGAGAAAGGGGGAAGGGAAGGGACCTGAAGGAAGCTTCTGGGTTCTTGGTCATTAGACTGAGAAACAACTATGTTCAGTCTGAAAATTCACCAAGCTCTACAACATATGATGTACACTTTTCTACCTGTGTGTTGTACTTCAATTAAATGGTGAGTCTAGCAATGTTTTCTTGCTTTTCAAAATACAATGTGAATTAGACACTCTGATTGCAGTTGATCTAGTCAACAGGACTGAGGTGTAAGAAAATTTACAAATGAATCCGTTTTTCTACAAGAAACAGCTAGCTCTCCAGTAGTCACACTATACATTTAAGAACTCTGTCACAATGAAAACTGCAGAATGTGTCACTGACTGCTCTCTTAGAAAACTACATCACCACACTGCAGAATGAGCTCAATTATGGAAGTGAATAACAGTAGCTTCTTTGTATTGAACTGCTATTATAAATAGTTACACTGCTGTTCCATCATTCTATTTTCTTTTTTACCTCTTTTTATCTTTTTTCTTTTGAGAGGTTTGTGCTATAGGGAGCGTATGCTCGCCAGAAAGACAGACAGAAAGCGAGCAATCCCCCCCCCCGGGGGGGGGGGTGGGCAGGTGGCCACACTGCAATCCATTCTCCTCCATTCTCCTCTTGGGATCTTGGGCACACACACACATGCCCAGCGTGAGTTTAAGCCGCCAGGTCCGGGACTTGAACCACAGTTGACTACATGAGAGGTCCAGCAACGCAGCCATTATGCCAACTGCTGGTCCCACTGGTTCCATCATTTTAAGACCATTTCTCAAGTTGCCAAAAGCATAACAGGACCGCTTCTGGACCACTTGAGAAAGCCAGTGATGGTATCACTAGGGAAAAAGGTGACAAGGTGATTGGCTTTTAATATTTTTTAATCAAGTCAATATAGCAGCAGCCCCCTTTACCGAAAGGCCACAGAGATAAAGACAAAGAGGAATCCACTCTGAACTATTCTGGTTGCACCGTCAAAGTGCTGAAATGAACGAGGCATTTTAAATCCTCAGCTCACAGCCCAGTGAGCACGCTCCCAGGGGACGTCCGGGCATCAAACCCGATGCATAAAGGAGGGACCTGACAAGGCACTGAACCATGCAGCAGCGGGACTCAGGGAAGCAGCGAGAGTTCTACTTTCCTGAGTAAGTAAAACAAGCCAGGGCAAACCTGTTCCACTACAAGAGTATAAAAACCAGTTGCAGTAAAACAAACAAAATGAAACCAACACTGGGCCATGCCCTTGTGACCTTCGCTCACTTGGCATTTAGAGGTAGCCCGGGCAGGAAGGTGATGGGGCAGACTCTCCGAGAAAGCTCACTCAGCCAAGAGTAAGCCTCCCATTCCACAGCTGTGAGAATCAAGGCCCATGGAGGTTAAGTGGTTTTGGATGAAGTCACACAGCAGTTAGATGACAAGCTTGCCCATGCTCTTTCCATCATACCAACATTTCCTCCTGGCTGGAGTCTGGCCAGGCCTCTCATCAGGATCCCCATCTCCCAGTGGCAAGTCAAATATAACTGGCCACCTCAAGGAGTGAGTGCACTTTCCTTTGGACACAGATGAATCAATTACCTAAAATGGTACCATTCAAAAGTAAAGCTAGAGATAAGATCATCTCACTTACGAACATTTTCTTTTTGTTGCATTTTGTTGTATCAACTACATTCAAAGGCAACAGCAAATGTATTAAGTTATGATCACCGTAAACCAACTAGTCTCCACATGCTATGTGAGACACATGGCAACACCTCAGACCAGTTTAAAACCAGTCTAAACAAGTGACTTGGCACTGAAGGTATAGGATTACTAAGCACAGCTGTGCAGGATCAGGGTGACCAGGACAGGAAGAAGACATATGCCAAGTCTGGCTCAACAGTCTCCCCTACACTCCCACCCCTGCCAAAAATAAGCAGTGTTCTCCCTTCTCTGTGCCCAAGGCTCTCCAATGAGAACGAGGTGCTTCTTAGGAAACAGGGGCTCACGATCCCTCTAAGGTAAATGTAGACTTACCTTGAAATTTCTTTTTGATTGCATCCTTAGAGCTTGCGTAGATCATTTTACTTTTCAGAGGTGCTAGTTCTGGTGCCCTAGATGGGAAAATGCCCAAAATGAAAAGCCTGGTTTAGAGAAAAGTACAACTTACACGTGTTAAACGTCAGCATCAGCGACAGGGGAGGGGCCTCAGAATCTCCTGAGATGCTTTTTTCTAACTACAAAAAATACCTGTTTCCCCATCTCCTCAGAGGGTAAATGTTCTAGGTGGGCACATGGAGAATCCTCGAGCTGATCAAGATGGAGGAAAAGGTAGAGAACCGCAAACAGCAGAGAACCATATTAAAAACCAGATTAATGTGGCCATAAAGAAAGAGCCAACATTGGGTACTTCACTGTGCTTTTTCTTTAAAATGAAACTTTCTGAGACCAGCAGATGGTATGATGGTTCTTGTTTGTTCTCGTTCTCTCTCTCTCTCTCTCTCTGTTGAATGCATGTGCCCTACAGCAAATTAATAATTTTTAGAGAGATTTTTTTCAACAGGGTACGTGCACTTGTCAGAGAAACAGATACAGAGCAAGAAATCACCTGTGGGGAGGGGATGGTCACGCCACAATCCCTTCTCCTCTCAGGATTTGTGGCACATACACACACGATTGGCATGATTTTTAAGGCGCCAGGTCCAGGACTTGAACTGCGGTTGATACGTGGGAGTCCAGCAACACAACCATTACACCATCTGCTGGTCCCAATAAAACTATTTTTAAAAGAAACTTCTACTTTTTAGTAAAAACGTCTTGAGTTCAAGGCTAGTGATAACGTATCTGCCACCCAAAATTAAGATGTGATAGTACTCTGGTATTTTTGCTTCAGATTGTTTTCTTTCTTTTTATTTCATTTTATTCATTATTACTTTTTTTAAAAAAATTGTTATATGGCAAATGAGCTCGCTAGAGAGAGACAGAAGACAGGGAAAGTGAGAAAGCAAGTCATCAAGTTTGGTACTTGAACCCTAGTCGGCCACGTGGGAGTCTAGCACCTCAACAATCACGCCACCTGCTGGCCCTACTCCAGATTGTTTCCTAAAAAAGGTTAAATTATAAATAGTGAAAGTCCTTTTTCTCAACCCCAGTCCCTTCTTTGATGTCTATTCCACTAGCAGAACCTGACCACATAAGGACTTAGCTTCTACCTTGGTCGAACGTATCGAACGTAACAATACATGGGGAATTATAAAATATGAGTCAAAATTTGTTTTTTGTTTGTTTTGCAAAGAAATTTTTGCTACTGGGTGCATGCACTCAGGGAGAGACAGAGAGACCCCCTGGCGAGATGGCCATGCTGCAATTCCTTCTTCTCCATTCTCCTCCTCAGGTTTTTGCCACACACATACACATCCCCGGCATGAGTTTTAAGTCACCAGGAACAGGACTCGAACTACAGCCAGCCATGTGGGAGTCCAGCGACATAAACAATATGCCATCTGCTAGTCCCCCAAATCTGAGTTTCCACAGTTCTCTTGAAAAAAATATTAAATCCACATGTATAATCTCAGGATTCTAAATACAGCTTTGACAAAGACATTTTTAAGCTAAAAGGCAACTACGACATAATTATGTCGTAACTGTCAATATCTTATATTTATAAAATTCGAGTGTCTTCTGTTCTTGAATGGAAGCACAGCACATGCTTCACAATAACTTCCTCACCAGTTCTGGAAAATAACAGGATTATCAGTAACAGACAAAAACCCCTCACCTTATTCAGGCTGAGAAGTGAATGCCTTTTCTCTTCATACCACTACACCTCAGGCCAGCCTCCAGGTCACACCACCAAGGTATGGAAGAGAAGGCAGAGCGCACATTGGCAGGCACTGAACGAGTCCATTTAGCGGCCCCACGGCCAGGACGTTCAGTAGGTGCTCGCGCTGCTGTGCACAACACCCCAGTGAGCAGGGCCTGTTCTTGGGAATCAGGGAAAAGGCCGTCTCCGTCTCACTGCTTGTTCCTCCCAATTCTAAGGTTCAATGAGGGAAGGCAAATCCCTGACTACCTCAGGACTGGCAGATGTTTGAGCTACAAAGTAAAGTGGACACTTTCTTAGGCAAATACGTCAGGTACAAGAGAAATCATGGGCTGTCCTGTTTTAACTCAGAGCTTGTAATGTGAGGTTTTATTTACATTTTCTTAAAAGAGTAGTACAGTAGCTGGCAGGTGGTGAGGTGGTTAAGGGCACTGGACTCCCACATGGCCGACCATAGTTCAAGTCCTGGACCTGGCAGCTTGCTTTCTCACTTTCTCCCTCTCTCTGTCCCTCTCTGGTCAAATTAAAATAAATAAATAAAGTTAAATAAAATAATTCTTTTTTTAAAAAAGTACAAAATAAATCACCGCACTAACATCAAAATTTCTTCTGCTGTTGTTCTTTTTATTTATGTTGCCAGAGGGTGAATGTGTTTGCCAGAAAAAGACAGAAAAAGGGGGAGAGAGAGAAAGCATCCCCAGGTGGGGCTTGATCAACTCTTGGTCCCTTCTCCATTTCCCCATCCTGTCGGGATGTGGGTCGCGTGCATACACAAGCCAGGGTATCTTTTAAGCTGCCAGGGCCAGGATTTGGTTGGTCATGTGGGATCCCTTAACAACAGACGGTCATAAAGCTGGCCCATTCTTTCCTTCTACTTTTGTTTTCCAAATGTTCTTTAATAAGAATGTATAATTTTCATTGTGGGGAAAGGGACCAGCAGTTAGTTAGCGTAATGGCTATGTCGCTGGACTCCCATGTAGTTGACCGCGGTTCGCATCCTGGACCTGGAGGCTTAAAACTCACACCAGGGACGTGTGCGTGAGTGCCCAAAATCCCGAGGGGAGAACGGAGGAGAAGGGATTACAGCGTGGCCATCCCCCCTGGGGGATGATTTCTTGCTTTCTGTCTGTCTCTGTCTGTCTGGTGAGCGCATGCGCCCTATAAGCAAAAACCTCTCCAAAAAAAATAAATAAATAAAAACCAGAAAAAATATATAAATGAAGGAAATTTTCTCCAGTTTAAAGCCCTAAGCCATTAGCTGCCATATCTGCCACTTGGCTGTAAATCCAGAAGAGCGGGGACAATGTGTTTTATTTTTAGCTTTCGTCCCAGGCCCTAACAAAATACCTGCTACGTAGCAAATTAAAAAAAAAAAAAGTTTAATGATGTACCTAATTCAAACCAACACAGTGTGAATTTCAAATCTTTTTTTTGGGAGGAAAAGGTTTTGCTATAAAGATGTGCTATCATTTCCTCTTATCTTTGGAATCTGGACAATAGTCTCGCTGTGGCTATCTGGTCATATCAAGGTATAATTTATTAATTTAATATTATTAAAAGAGGAATACAGGTATGAATTTAATGTAAAACTTAATCTCAAATTTCAACTAAAAAGACCAAAGTAATAAACGGGATGTTTTTAAAAGGAGCTACGTAAATCACTTTATAGTCCTTTTCTTTATCTGGAGCTAATAAGTAACTTTAAAATTTTAATGAAGTTAAATTTAAATAGCCACATGTGGCTAGTGGCTACCCTAATGTGCAATATAAAATCAGGACGTGCAATATAAAATCAGGACATACGGGAGGGAGTGGAATCAATCTACAAAGGCACCAAAGCACAGGCAGAAGTAAAGAATGTGTGTTTAAAAAAACAGGCTGATTCCTGGTATGGAATGCTGAAAAAATGGTGTTTTGGCTTATAAATAGGAAATTCTAGAAGGAGCAAAGTTTAGCTGATCAGCAGTACAAAGGGTACACAGAAACCTGCCTTCTATCCTCCCACAAAAAAAAAAAAAAAAAAAAATTAATTATTGAAAGTCATGTTTTTTCAACTAGACGAAGAGTGGTTAAAATTTAGTTTGAGTTGAGCCAGCAGGTGATTAAAGGGCTGGATCACACATAGCTGACTCTGTGGTTGGAATCCCAGACCCAGCAGCAGCTTGAAAAATACACCAGACACGAATGTGAGTGTGTGTGTGTGTGTGTGTGTGTGTGTGTGTGTGTCCAAACTCCCAAGAGGAAAGTGGAGAAGGGATTGCAGCGTGGTCAACCCTCCTGCCTGAGGGGTGATTTCTCACATTCCCTAGAATTCGTTCCAGCGAGCATAGGCTCCCTATGGCAAAGACGTAAAAATAAATAAATAAATAAAATTTTATTTTGGGTCCCACTAACACCAATCTGGCTAACATTAAGGAAACCTTACAAACAAAAATTAAATGACAACTACAAAGAGCTGAATAAAAATTACTTCGGGCCCTTTTCAAATGCTGACGAGATTAACCTCTGAGGGCTAGAGGCTCAATATGTCTAACATGCTTACCACAAAAAAAACATCAACTCTTCTTTTCTGGATTCCTTAGTTTCAAAGCTTGCATCATACAAAGCGTAGCGGCAATCTTTTTCAGGAAGCATTCCCACAAAATGCTTGAATGGATCAGTGATGGTTACACCAACATCTCCAACCAAGATCTCCTTGCCTTCTTCAACAATGATACACTTTTTGTCTGCACTGAGACAGAAAATGACAGCCTTCTTTCTTTTCTTGATTTCTTCTGGTGTGGAGCATTTCCTAACTTTCATGTCATAAAAAATACGACATACTTCATCAGCGACTTGCACTCCTGAGGCCTATAGTGAGATAAGAAAAAAGAAAGAGGCTTACCATTGTTATCATGCCAAATATAAAACACTATTTAACTTAAGGTTAGACATATACTTAATTTTTAAGGAATTTTTATCATCCAGTAAGAAAAGTAGAAAACTGGAGCTATAGTCACTACTAATTTCAGACATCCTACTTATTTTTTGGAGAGGTTTTTCGCTATAGGGCGTGCACGCTCGCCCCAAAGAGAAAGACATAGAGACAGAAAGCAAGAAATCACCCCCCAACCAGGGGGATGGCCAAGCCGCAATCCCTTCTCCATTCTCCTCTTTGGATCTTGGGCACACACACATGCGTCCGGCTTGAGTTTAAGTCACTGGGTCTGGGACGCAAACTGCGGTTGACTACATGGGAGTCAAGCAACATAGCAATTACACTAATTGCTGGTCCCCAGACATCCCACTTTTTAAACAATTACATATATAAGCCATTCATCAATACTGCATGGAAGTATTCTACTCACATTTCAAAATTATATATGATCAATATTCAGTAACAAAAAAAGTAGACTGTTATAACAAAGAAGATAGCTTAACTTGGGATTATACTGGCAGAAAAAGTAACCTTTTGCTATGTTAGACTTGCTATTCTGGGATGAAGAACAGATAAACAAGATCTTGATGCACAAGATCTCACAAGGATTTTTAATCTTTTCATCTTAAGGAATGTGCAATTTATATTAACTGTGCTATATTCATAATTTTTATACTTCATTAACTGCTTTGATGTGCATGTTTTTCTAAAGCAAGAATTATAAACTTAATATAATTAGAATGCTACACAATGCAAAACATTAAAAATACCCAAAATTAATGTCAAGTATTTAAAAAATTAAAATGCACATAAAAAGAAAAGGTAAGCCACGGAATGAGAGAAAATATCTGCAAATCATGAAGAACTTGTATCCAGAATACATAAAAAGCTCTTACAACTCCATAAAAAGACAGCCCAATTTTTAAAATAGAATTGTTTTATTTAATTTTATTTATTTAAATTTGGCCAAAGGAGGAGAGCGAGAAAGGGGCGGGAGGGGAGGGGCAAGAAGGTGAGAAAGCCAGCTACCAGGTCCAGGACAAACCACAGTCGGCCATATGAAGAGTCCAGCGCCCTTAACTACCCATGCCACTTGCCAGCCCCAAAAGACAACCCAATTTTTGAAAAATGGTCGAAGGATTTGAATAAACATTCTCCAAAAAAGATACACAAAATGGCCAATAAACACGTGGAAAAATGCTCATATTATCAATAGTTGTTAGGAAAATGCCAATCATAACTGCAATGTGACACCACTTCATACCTGCTAAGATGACTGAAAATTAAGACAATGACAAATGCGAGTGAAGCTTTAGAGAATCTGGAACCCTCACAGATTACTACAGAATTGTAAAAGGCGGGAACCAGCAGTTAGCGTAATGGGTATGTCACTGGATTCCCACATAGTTGACCGCGGTTCGTGTTCCGGACCCGGTGGCTTAAAACTCACGCCGGGCACATGTGCGTGTGTGCCCAAGATCCCAAGTGGAGAATGGAAGAGAAAGGATTGCGGCATGACCATTCCCCCTGGGGTGTATTTCTCGCTTTCTGTCTCTCTCTCTCTCTCTCTGTCTGGCTGGCGAGCACACGCGCCCTATAGTGAAAACCTCTCAAAAAAAAAAAAAAAGAAGGCACAATCACTTTGGCAACAGTTTGGTAGTTCTTCAGTTAAACATGGAGTTAAGATGTGATTTAGAAATTCCACTCCTATGGGACCAGCAGGTGGTGTGGTCGTTAAGGTACTGGACACTGCCACATGGCCAACCACGGTTCAAGTCCTGGACCTGGCGGCTTCCTTTATCCCTTTCTCTCTCTCTCTATCTCTGTGTCTCTCTCTGGTCAAATTGAAAAAAAAAAAAAGAATAAAGAAAATTAAATAAATAATCATTAAAAAAATAAAGAAATTCCACTCCTAGGTATATATATACAGGAGAAAAGAAAATGTGTCCACACAAAGATTTGCATACAAATTTTCATAACAACTTTATTCAAAATAGACTCAAAGTGGAAGCAATTCTAATTCCCATCAAGTGATGAACAGATTTCTTAAATGTGGTATAGTAATAGAATGGGACATTATTTGGCCATTTTTTTTAAGAAAAGAAGTACTGATAGAGCATCTCTAATCGGATTACTGGAAATGCTCCAACACTCAAAACTTTTGGGAGTCAGGGTTGCAGGTGGTGTGGTCAAGGTGCTGGACTCCCTTGTGGCCAACTGCAGTTCAAGTCCCAAACCTGAAGGCTTGTTGCTCACTTTCCTTCTCTCCCTTTTCCCTCTGATGGGTGCATGTGCCCTATAGCAAATTTTAAAATAATAACAATAAAATAAAATGAATAGTAATCCTTAAAAAAAAAAAAAAAGAAAACTTCAGGGAGTTAACATGACCTCCAGTGATTGGTTGCAGTCAAAACAAAATACTATATAAAATCACCTCCAAGTTATGTATGTATATTAAGTGTCATGGAACATACATGAATTCTGTACTTAAACTTGAGCCAATGTATCTCATTATTGTACATGCAAATATTAAAAACATATATATTTTAAAATAACAAATATTAAAAATAAACAAAAAATCCAATCCAAACCCTTCTAATACCAAATATTTCAGATAAGGGATATTCAACCTATACTGATACATGGTACAAATGTGAATAAGCCTTGAAAAACATTATGCTAAATGAAAGAAGTCAGACAGAAAAGACCACATTAGATATCGCATTATTCTATTTATATGAAATGCCCAAAAGAGGCAAATCTATGGACAGAAAGTAGATTAGTAGTTTCCAGGGACTGAGGGGAGAGGTGAACAGGGAGTAACTGCCTAACAAACATAGAGTTTCTTTTTGGACTGATGAAAACATTCTAGAATTTGATGGGGGTGATGAACACAACTCTGAATATACTGAAAAACCAATAAACTGTACTTTACTTAATATTACAGTAACTGGGCCATTTAATCATCACATTCATGAAGAGATGTATTTCAACCCCATCTAATCTAATACATATCTAATCATAATCCATTCCAGTCCTATCCAATGCAGTCCGCATCTTCTGTTTATAAATTAACATCCCCCTCTCAATTAACGAAGTGGCAGATATGCAGATTAAGAAAACCCAAAACCCACACAATTTTATTACTCAAATGTCTTTAAAACAAAACAAAAAAATACTAGAAGGCATGTGTACTCACCAGAGAGAAAGAGAAAACATCCCCCCCCCCAACACATGGGACGTGGCCACATCAAAATCTTTTTTCCTCCATTTCATCATCCTGTCAGGATTTGGAATGCCCAGGCATACATGCCTAAGTTTGTTTTTCAAGTCCCCAGGGCCAGGATTTGAACTGTGGTCAGCCGTGTAGGGTCCAGCTCCCAGTGCATAGTACTTAATCACAGACTACATGACATGTCTCTCTTTTTTTTTTTTTGATAGGTTTTTTCTTTGCTACAGGGCATGTAAGCTCGCCAGAGAGACAGAAAGCAAGAAATCACCTCCCAGGGGAGATGGCCACGCCGCAATCCCTTCTCCTCCGTTCTCCTCTCGGGATCTTGGGCATGCATGCACACACACCCGGAGTGAATTTTAAGCCACCAGGTCCGGGATGTGAACTGCAGTCGCCTACAGGGGAGTCCAGTGACACAGCCATCATGCTAACTGCTGGTCCCAGGACATGTCTCTCTTAATCACTGACTATAGGACCATTTTTCTTGAACTTTTTACTGCTTTAGAAACAGTATTTTCCTGAACCGTGTAACTTATCTATGATAAGCAAGTTAAGAATCTTCATATTACAACAGATAAAATATAATAATGAAAGTAACAAAATGAAGAAAAAATTAGAAACAGCCCCCAATTTTTCCAATTCCCTAGTCCCTAAGAGTGTTACACTGATTTTTAAAAGCATGAGGGCAACAATTTGAAGCCTTGTATTCGATCGACCAACATTTGAATATACCTGTCAAAATCTAAGTATCTCAAACAACACTCCAAATTCTGATTTGGAAATTAAATCAAAGTAATCATATGCCAGCCATTGAAAACAGAAAGTAAAATGTGTATTCTGTGTAAATCTGGCTGTAACTTACAAGCATTTTAACAGCCTAAGAACCAGGGAGTACACAGATAGTGCCACTGCTTGGTAGGTTAGAAGCCACTAGGCCAGCCCAGGTTTGTTTCCCAGTCAACCTGAACAGCAAGCACAGTGGTGCATGCCTGTAGTCCTAGACTGGGGTAGGAGATCACTACATGGTAAGATCCGGTCAAAAATACCAATCTCTGCCCTTCTCCCTTTCCCCTTTTCTCTCTCATAAAGAAAAAATTTTTAAAAAGCCCCAGTAAGGAGGAGCCTGGGCTTTTTTTTCTGTCAGCAATTTTGTTTGTGGAGGTTTCTGATGACAGGAGTACCACTAAGTCACTTGTGCTTGAGGAAACATCTAAGACTGAAGGAAAAACAGGCACAGAAACTGGAAGCATGAAGACCCATTTTAAGACCATTACAGATATCCGTATGAGAAAGCTCTGAACTGTAACAGTGAGGCTGAAAACAAATTCAAGGGCACGTCAAAGTCAAGTCACTATAGCACAGTGAAACATGCAAGCCGAGTGACCAGACTGGGTGCATGACCCAAGGGTAAGGATGGCATGGCATGCCACACTGACCCAGCAGACTGTGCACAGCATCTGGCTGGGGACAACCGGACAGGCATGGGTTTCATAATACATATTTTGAACTGGCCTATATCACAGGGGCACCAACATTAAACAGCAAAAATGAAGTCAGTCAAGACAAAGAAGAAATTATCAGAAAGCTCAGAAGAAAAAGGTCAGATGGGAGAAAACCGTATCCTAGAAGCCAAGGGAGAGTGTACCAAGTTAGGAGGTCGCCAATACCAAAAACGGCAGAATCTGAGAAAAATGACTGAAAACAGAC